CAAAAATTGATACAAAAGAAAAATTAATAATATACGTATATATATAGATACAAATATATATATACAAATTGATAATAATAGTAATAAAAAAAATCAAAAATAAAAGAAATGACAAAAGATTAAAAAAAAAAAAAAAACAATTGCTGTGGTCGTTGTGTGTTTTATTTTTTGTATTGTTGCGTGTCTCTCTTTTTTACCATTTTTTAAGCAGGTTTGGTGGTGGGTATGGTGGTGTATATGGTGTCTTTCGTGCTTCTCTGTCATGGAGGAAGGATAAGAGAAAAAAAAAAAGAAAGGAAAGGAAGGATATGTTTCGATGATGATGAAAATCCATTTGTGGTGGCTGCTCTTGGCTGTTGGGGTTTTCTTCTCGGTGGTGTGTGAAGCAAACCAATTTTTCCAAGATTTTGTTAATAAGTTCAACACTTGTTTAACAAATTGTTTTTATCTTTAAAAAAAAAGAAGAAAAAAAAGAAACAAAAGTCAACAAAAATACAATTCATCGAGAGTTGGTTCTGTTCTGGAATTTTGTTTTCAATACCAGAAAAAGAAAAAAAAAATAAGGAGAGAAATGAAAAGAAATAATAATAATAATAATAATAATATTAATCAAGTAAACTAAAAGAAAAAACAATCATAAGATTTTTATCTTATCTTATCTTATCTTATTCATGATGCCTTTCGCAATATATCTGGAAACTTATTGGAAGATTATTTGATGAAACTCTCCTTTTTTCTTTTTTTTTTTTTTAAATATAATTACAAGTGCTATGAACTCAAGGTGAGACACACACTTTTTCAGGTGACTTTGATTTCGTTATACTTCTTGTTTGAGTCATCATTAAAATCGTTGTCAAGAAAGATCCTTCAAGAGGACCAACAGTTTTGGAAACTTTTTTTTTTTTTTAATTAGGGGATCCACATATGTTTTTAGTATATTCTTCATTTCCATCATTTTCTCACCACCCTCCAACCATCCCCAGCCTCTTCCTACTCCTTTTTTTAATCCATTCATTTCATTATTGTTTATTTAACGTTTCTCACCACCCTTCAACCACCCCCAGCCTCCTCCTCCTCCTCCTCTTTTTAACTCATTCATTTCATTATTGTTTATTTAACGTTTCTCACCACCCTTCAACCACCCCCAGCCTCCTCCTCCTACTCTTTTTAATCCATTTATTTCATTATTATTTATTTATTTATTATTATTAATTTATATTCATATTAATTTATATTATTTATTCATTTTTATTAATTCATTATTAATAATTTATATTATTATTCACTTTTATTAATTCATATTATTTATTCATTTTTATTAATTCATATTATTTATTCATTTTTATTAATTCATTTTCTTTTTTATAAATTTTTATGTTCCTTGTAACAATTCAACAATTATCAAAATTGGATTATTGAATATTAGTGTTTCTTATTCTTCTTGAACATTTTGTTATTGTACTAGGTATTTGTTGAATTATTTTGCAATCTTATTCCCTTCTTCAACAACTTTTTTTTTTCCATTTCCTTACCCCATGCCACCACCCTCTTGAAAGGTGGACCCATATTGAAGAATATGATCTAAAGTTTCGAATCGTTATCACAGTTTTTTCCTTCCTCTAACATGGTGTTGATGTTTGATGATGATCTTTTTAAAAAGAGCAGAAATTTAGTAATCGTCTTGAAGATAATTCTCGAACAAATTCTATGGGAAAAATATTCTCGTGATTCGATTGTTTTTGTTGTCTTATTGTGTGTCCTTAACGTATACATAATTTTTTCTTAGATCTTTATAGTTAGAATATTTCTATTTTGACTCTTAAATATATTATTTAAATATTAAACAAACTTAAGAGAGTGACAATATTTTGATGGGTAAGTTTGTGTCAATTTGTTTAACGAAGCTTTGTCAGTTTTTTTTTTTCTGACCCTCCCCCAAAAATTTTGTATATTTTTTTCGATGCTCAATATTAGAACAAAATAATCCACAGATTGAAGGGATGGATGAGGAGGGTTGAATCGTACAAATTTGTTTCAGAAAGGATTGTACACAATTTATGTGTTGTAAGTTCGTATTTTTCTCTGTGTGTTGTTCATTCTGTCTGCTTAAGATAATTTATTTCATTTAGATTGTATTCCAATAGATTTTATATATATATATATTTTTTTTTTTGTTGATAAAATTAATTTATATTTCTCTCAATGATTTTTAATATCGTCAGATTGCACAAATCGTGTATAAGAAATTTGTTCATAACGTTTTATCAGTGTCTTATTCAGGGATTCTCAAAGAATTTCGATTGCGTTTAACATTTTTCTAATTTCATGATATTTTATCTTGTTTTTTTTGAAGTCGGGGGCGTTTCTTATTGCAACATTTATCAGTTTCGTTTTAATTATAACTTGACTCTCTTGAATTATATTTATTTTCTATTATCTTTTGGTTAAATCGAAGTATTTCTAAAGTTCAATCAAAGAAAAGCTGTTTCACGAGTATCGATAACAATTTTTTAATGTTGGTATGCGAAAAAATTATTATTTTTATGTTATTGTTTTGATTATTATGTATATTCACACATAAGTTGACAATTAACCCTTTGAGTGCTGAATACTTTTAATTAAAATGTTTTATAGAAATGGAACAATTTATTATTAACTAGATTCTAATAATAAATTATATTTAATTAAATAGTAGATATTAAATAAATTATTTAATTAAATATAATTTATTTAATATAATTTTTATTTAATTAATATATTAATTAAATTATTATATTATTATATTAAATATTAATATATATTTAATATAACATCAATATTAAAAATTATATTAAATAAATTATATTTAATGTATAAATTTATAAATTTATATATAGTATATAAAATTTAATTTAATTTATATAATACAAAAAATTTAATAAATATAATTTATTTAATTAAATAATTTATTATTAACTAAATTTTTTTTAATAATAAATTATATTTAATAATTAAAGTTTATCTTTCTAAATATAATTTCATTAATTAATATAAACAAACACTTATATGCATTGATAGACCACCACTCTGGTAATTTGTACCAAACGCATATATGCGTCCATAGCACTCAAAAGGTTAAAGAAAATTCATTCACGACTGTCGATAACAGTTTTTTGATATGTTCGGTATTCGAATAATATTTGCGTTTCATTTAAAAGATGATAATTATTATTTTGATGTTATCGTTTTTTTGATTATTATTAGGTCGAGTCATAAATAACTTCCAGTTTTGTATGAGACAAAGAATGGTGTTTATGCGACTGATAAGTGCAAGACACCTTTCATGGAATTTTTTTTGCACTCTTTGCAATTGTTCAACGTATCTATTGGATTTTGCTCCAATATTACCTTTAAAAGGTTCATCAAAGTCGGAAATACGTCCTGCACTCGGTTCATCTTTTAAGATCGTATCTCCAGAACGAAATTTTACCAACCAATTTCTGACTGCCCTATCAGTTATCAGTCCTGCACCGTATACGCTGCATATTTTTTCAGTTGCCACTTTAGTGCCATTGCCTTGTTTCAATTCCTAAAGCATTACATGTCGAATATGCACTTTTTACTATCCATTTCAGTGGTTAAGAAAAACGGTTAAATGTAACATTGACTGTATAAAAAAGTTAACAGAAGACTAACTGAATTCTCATCTATACAGTGATATCAAAAATTTGTTTGTTTCGGTGACTTATAGTAGGTAAATACGAAAAATAGATTCTACATAGCTGCATCGGAAGTTACTTATGACTCGACCTAATATATGTATTCTCACACATAAGTTAACAATTTCAGATATTACTTTGAGATTATGTAACTTCGATCAAGGATAACGAGGTAAGTTTATTGATCTTCGACGAACAAAATCATTTCATATGTCTCTATTATTCTTTTAGGAAAACACTTCATCCAGGTGGCATGTTTTTTTATCGAATGGTAAGTGCTATATATATATATATCTATATCTATTTATATATATATATATGGATATATATATATGTATATGTTCTCATACACACGTTAAATACACACACTTACGTTTTTATATACACAAGTTTTATTGATTTACGTTAAAGTATTTCTTTTCTTATTATTTTTATTTTTATCCGTACAAAAATGTCGAATAAACAGTTTTATTTTTAATTCTACATACACAACACAGGTTTGTTTAAAAAAAAAAAAAAAAAAAGAAGCAGAGTAGTAGTAAAACAATTGTTTTAAGCAAATGTTATACAAAAATTGTATACAGAATTTTTTTTTATATTTTTTTTCTATTAATTTTTTATATTAAAATTTAACGTAAATTAGAGAAGTGAAGTGTTCGTTTGTTTGTATGTTTGTTTATTGTTTGTCAGTGAGTTTATACAGAAATTTTTTTTATTTTCTTTTTTATTACAACAACAAAAAAAAAAGAAAAAGAAAAGAAAAAGAATAAAATTATTTTCTTTTTGCAATTTAAATGAAAAATAAATTCATAATAAAGTTAATCAATATATTTTGTTAAGAGGGATGATAATTTAATCGCACAAATCAAAAGGAAGATTTTTTCAAGTATATTTGTGCATATGTGTAAGGTATAAAAATTGAATAAATAAACATAATGAATAATATTTTGATTATATGTAATATGTGCAGTGATTAACAAAAAGTATTCGTACTCCCCTCCCCCAACTCTACTGTTAATTTACAACAATCAATATTTTTTCTTGTAATACAATATTTCTAATTTACATATACACTGAAATTTATTTGAAAATTATTCAACTTTTAAACTGATATCAATTTACGATTGTAAAACAACCATTTTATTCTATGAAAAGTAAAACTGTAAATATAATTGATTAAAAAAAAAAAAAAAATGCATTAATATTAATTTACGATTGCAAAACAACCATTTTATTTCATGAGAAATAAATCTGTAAATATAATTGATTAACAAAAAAAAAAAAAAAATGCATTAATATTAATTTACGATTGCAAAACAACCATTTTATTTCATGAGAAATAAAACTGTAAATATAATTGATTTAAAAAACAATGCGGAGTTGTTATGTTTGAAAATGATTACAAGTTGTGTAAATGTTAATTAACAATAAAATAATCATCTGTAATAAAATTTGTATCAATTCAAAAGTTGAATAATAATATAAATAAATTTTCTCTTTGTATAATAATTTTATGAATCATTGAGTTACAAAGTAAAAAATATCACAATTATTTGAAATTTATAGTAAAGATAGATGAGTTTATACGAATACTTCTATGATTCTCACTGTATATATATATATATATATATATTTTGTTATCACACCTGTATTTCGGACAGTCTTTACACATTATAAAACGGTTCGAAGTCTCTTCGTTAAAATATGTAAATAAGATGATTAATTCTATCTTTTCACAGAAGATCGAGACAACGTTCCGTATTAAAGGTAAATATGTATATGTGTATATATATATGTCTGTGTTATGTGACTTTCTTAAATCTATTATATCTAAAATATCTAAAAAAAAAATATATATATATATATATATCAAACGCGAAAAAATTGCATACAAATTATTAGATGAATAATCAAAAAGTAATGTCGCTTTTCTAACCTAAAAATTCAAACGAATAACTTAACAAATTTGTATTTTTAAATGAATAATTTCATCATTTCTCGTTATCAACAAACTTTTTTGCACCTGTTATGCAAATTTTATAATACTGAACTGATAAAAATAGATTGGTTTTTAATTAAAATATAAAAATATAAAATTTATACATGTGTAGAGAAACGACATTACTTTCCACCTAATATACATATGTATATATATATGTATATATATAATTTAAAAAAAACTATGATGCAAGTAATTAGAAAATAAATAAAAAATAAGAGTATATAATACGTATATCTTGTAAATTATTTTTTTTTCCCGCGTTTTTTTTTTTAAGCTTACAACAAACTCAACAACAACAAAATAGAAAAACCTTTTGCATTAAATTCTGTAATTTTTTTGTTTTAATTTTTTAATAATAAAAAAAAAGAATAAGCGCAGTATAATAATTTTTCGCACATTGTCTTATTATATATATATATATATATATATATATATATATATATATGTGTGTGTGTGTGTGTATAAGTAAATGTTTAATATGTTTTTTTTTTTTTTTATTATAATATACTTGTTGTAATCTATGTCAAGAGTGTGTAGGTTTCAAACATATTTCAAATAAATGATATCATTATTATAATTATTAAATGGCGCAAAAAGCTTAAGGCTCTCGATGTTTTTTTTTTTTTTTTTAATGTTTAATTATTATAGATATATTTATGCAAATATCACTTATGGTGTGTATATATATATAGATGTATGCGCGCGAGATGATATATCACGTGATTTCTTCTACTATTATTAATTCTTCTCCGTGCTTTGTTTGTTTGTTTTTTTTTTTTTTTTTTAATAATAATAATTATCATCGTTTAATTATTTTCTTTTTTATTTTTATTTCTTCCCTTTTTCCCCCATTTTCTTTTATGTTTTTTTTTTTTTTCGTGAAAATGTTTATGGTAAAAGACGTATTGTAATTATGAATTGTTTAATTATACATAGAATATATGAAAACATGTAAACTAATGCATTGTATTATTATTATTATTGTTATTATTTTCTTAGAAATAATTTTTCTTATCTCACATTAATTTTAATTATGCGAAATATTTTTTTGTTTCTTTCTTTTTTTTTTTACAAATTATTTTATCCGAAAAATTTGTGCGCTATCCCAACGACGTAATTTTATTTTTATTTTTCATTCATATCTTTAATTATTTATTATGTTTTTTATTTTTATTTTATATTTCGTTTCTCAGTGATATTTTTATTAATTAATTTTCTTAAACATGAGAAAATGCGTTTGTATTTTAAAGAAATTATTGTTTCCTTTCGTCTTGCATATTTTTTTTTTTTTTGTTTTATTTTAAACATATCACATCACTGAAAGGGAAAAACATTTTCTTATTTAATATATTTTTTTTTTTTATTTTCTGTCAATCTTTTTGTTCGTCAAATTTTTTTCTAATAGATAGTACACAAGTTCAATTTAATATTATTATTATTATTATTATTATTATTATTCAATTTACCACAATTTTTGCTAAAATATTATCAACGCGGTGTTTGTTTTGTTTTTTCTTTTTTTTTTTCTTTTACATGGGGGGGTTCTTATTTATATAACTGAGGCGTTAAGGGTTGGGGGTTGTTTTTGATGAACAGGTAACAGACCTTTTTTTGCCAAGTTTAATCTTAATGTCAATTTTATAATAATTTTTACGATCAATTACTATAATTCCTAACCTCTTTTTGAATTGAATTGTTTTACATTTTATTTTCTTTAATTTTATTTATCGAACTATACCGAATTTATTTCAACTTGGTAAAAGATATTTTTAACAGAATATTTTTCTTAAGCTCGGTGTATCCGTGTTTTTTTTTTCTTTTAATGTGTGTGTGTATATATATAAAGCACGACGATTGGATTATTATTTTGTTTCTCTTGGCAAAAATATTCCATGGATGGCAACACTAAAGTTGACAAGCGTAATTATTTCTTGGTTATTTTTTTAATTTTACTTTTCTTTTTTTGTTTTTGTTTTTTTTTTTCAATCGAACACATCATCTTTTGAGAATCTTTTCTTTTATAAATGTTTTTTTTTTTCCTTTATATAACCAATTATCATCATCATCATCATCATCATCATCAGCCATTTTAATAAATTCGAAGAATTTATTTTATTTACTGACGAACATTCTCTTTGTTTCAATTAAAATTTAAATAATAATTAATATACACAAACGTCTTAAATAAAATATATATCTTGGACTCTTTTTGCACGTTTTTTCTTTTGTTCTTATTTTTTTTTTTTTTTTTTTTTAAATATTCATTATCATAGAAAATTTATCGAGATAAGATACAGAAAAATTCTATTTTATCACAAATGAATTTTTAGTATTCGTTTATTGCGTAAACAGAGTCCTGTGTGTATTTTTTCTTTTTTTTCTTTCTTAATGACGTTGTTGCACGCGCTATATTACCATCATCATATTTCAATGTGTGTGTGTGTGTGTGTGTGCTTCGTGTACAAAAAAAAAAGAACATTCATTTCATGCTTTGTATTTAATTTATCATTTAATCGTCAATTCAATTATTATTTAATTGTAAAATGTATTATTTTTTTGTTTTGAAATTTTCTTACTTCAATTTCACTTCAGTCGTCATCACACACAGAGACACACACACACACACATACATAACATAATATCATATGATGTAAATCCCATTTGCAATAAGTAAATCGTAAAATATTTCGCCGTAAGTGTAGTTACAATTACAATCACTCGATTATTATCAAATAATATATATATATATATATCTAGTTAATTTTTGTTTTTTGCGACTTTAACAAATTTTCATATATATAAAAATTCTAATTCGGTTTTTATAATATTGCAAGGAAGGAAAAAAAAAAAGAAAAGAAAAGACAACGAAGAAAAAAGGAAAGAGACACGATTCAATATAAAATTAATAACACGAAGAAGAAGTACAATAATAATAACAATAATAATAATAATAATAAGAATAAAAAACTGGTATCATCTTCTTGTACGGGACAATATTTTTCATGAAGATAAACCAAACAAACACACAACTTGGTTTATTACTTTTTCTTCTTCTATCCTTTTGCATTTCTATTATTAATATTATTATTATTAATATTATTATTATTATTATTATTATTATTAATTATAATAATAAAAAACCTAATGCATTTTAACGAATGATCTTAAATGGTCGGGAACAATTTCGTCGAGTTGTTCTTCCTTGCACCACCTTCTAATTACCTTAGCCGCTAAACACGTCAAGGTAACGTATTTTAGTGGATTTATGGAATAAAAGTTTTGCTTGTTCCGTAGCAAACACTTGAAGGTTTTCTTATCCTTATTAACTGTATCGATATGAGCACCTGCATCGAGAAGCGCAATTGCGAGCTCGGGACGCCAAGGTGACGACATGGCAACCCAATGCAACGCAGTATTTCCATTCCTATCTCTTGAATTAACATCGGCACCAACTTTCAATAATGCTGTCGTCAAATGTGGCGAGTGAAATTTGCAAATTGGATACCTTCCTACCAATGCTACGTCATCACTGTGCACCAGTTGCAATGCGTCACGATCCTTAAATAGAAATTATAATATGAAAGGTTTTTTTTTTTTAATAAAAGGTGAATGATCCTGTTGTGTCTTTTAAATAATTGGAATTATTGTTTCTTTGATATTTGTGGAATAAAGAAAAGAAGATTTTGGAATATGTTACACTTTGTTTTGAATCATTTAGTATTGTTTTTAATTAATAAGAATTAGAATATTTTAATAAATGATTCAATTTGTGTTTTTGTATAATAGGAAGGATTTTGATATTAGTAGAATAAAGAAAAGATTTTTAGAATATTTTAGACTTTGTTTTGAATCATTTACTATTGTTTTTAATTAATAAGAATTAGAATATTTTAATAAATGATTAAATTTGTGTGATTTTTAATATTTCTCATTTAGTTTTGAATGATTAAGTTTTTAATATGTTTTTAATAAATTATTAAATTTGTAAAATAAGGAAAATAATATTTTAGAATATTTCTAACTTCGTTTTGAACCATTTAAGTGTTATTTTTAATATAATAAAAATTAAAATATTTCAAATTTGTAGTTCAGCAGCTTTGAATGATTAAATGATTAAATGTAATATTGAATTTTTAATTTTTGTTTTTGTTCAAACTTCATGTTTTCTTAAAAATGAATAATTAATTTACCTCTTTGCCCTTTGCATTGATTTTAACCAAATCGTAAATGGCTTTATGTATGGCTTCGTACTCTTGTGTACCTTCTGGAGGCATGTCGCGTGTCATTAGACATGCTAAATGTAACGTGATCAATAAAATTCGATTTAACGACGATACATCACGTTCCCTTAATGGAACTTTATCTAATAACTGTTTGCCTTGTCTAACTTCTACTATCTGAAACATACAATTAGTTTCGTTGTTTCGTATTAAAATATTGGATTATAAAAATAGAAATAGAAATAGAACAACAAGAGTGTAATAAATAACAGAGCAAGTGAGTCAATTATATGGAATGTGGTATTTTGTTGTTGTTGCAAAGCTGCTAAGTGTTTACACGCAGTTGTATTGCAATATATTTTCTATTAGTCATTTAGTACCAATAATTTATTTGTCATGATTTCTTTTTGTTTGCAACAAAGAATAAATTGAACATAGGTATTTTATCCTGGTTAATTAATGTCATTAAGTTTCAGTTAAGTAGCAGACAATTTATTCTATTTATGTGCAACTTTTAGAATCCGGGTAATTAAGAGAATCAATTTAAAAATAGAAAAAATAGAAAATAAAGAACTTGACAATAATATAATATTTAAAAGGAAAATCTTCTATCAGAGTTTGAATCTAATTTTTATATTAATCATCAAGTTGGTATTATAGAACATTAAACTAACAGAAGAATAAATCTATGAATAAAATATTATACACAAAAATCATGAGTACATTTTCGTGTTACATGTTACATGTTAAAACGTTTCTCAAATGACTCGAATACAAAAAGAATCTTACAAAAAACGATTTACTACACAACAAGAGTAACACATTAAATTGCAATTAAAATCATTGGTACATTGTCTTTCTTGTAATTTAACATAACATTTGAAAATAATCAACCTATTAACAGTCTTTAAGTGTTACATGTGTAGTGATGTGTTAAAATGTTTCTCAAATGACTCGAATACAAAAAGAATCTTACAAAAAACAATTCTCTACACAACAAGAGTAACACATTAAATTGCAATTAAAATCACTGATACATTTTCACTTATATTTAACATAAAATTTGAAAATAATCAACCAACTTACAGCCTTTAAGAAAATGTTAAGTATTTCACTTCTGTTAACTGGTGGTACCCTTCGTCCTCTACTAGTTTGTCTACCTTCTTCTCCTATCATAAAACTAAAAAGTTCAGCAAAACTAAAGAATGAACTTTGCGTTGTCGGATTTAATGGTTCTAACATTCCTTGTTGCATATCCAATGCATAATTCCATAATTGTATGCAACGATCGAACCTTCCAGCATCAGCATAAACTGCTCCTCTGTAACGAATATAATAACTTGTGTCTGGATGTGCAGGACCCAATATTCTTTCCCTAATCACCAATGCTTGCATACGCATGTCATCAGGATCTGCCAATAATTCATCTAATTCTTCTGGCTCACATATTTCTTGCACACAATCGTAGGCCTGTACTGGCATTTGTGGCTTTGGTTTTGGTATAACGTGCCTTCTTCGATATCTATAGTAATAATTTAATATCAAAATTAATTTTATGACTTTTTTTTTTATTACTGAACAATAGGAGGTTATATATTGTTATACATAACCTCCTAATATATATATATGTAGTTTACTATAATAATATATATAGTTTATATTTTATTATCAATTATAGGTTATAGTTATATATATAGTTTATTATAAAAATATATATAGTTTATATTTTGTTATTAATTATAGGTTATAGTTATATATATATATATAGTTAATTAGAATAACCTACGAGGAGAGAGAGAACGAAAAGTAATGTCGTTACTACGCATGTCAAATAATTTCTAATATTTGAAATCAAAAAACCGATTGATAATTTTTGTCGTTACGATATTAAAAATTTGCATATCAGATAGAAAAAGGTTGTTGATAACATGATTAATTAATTTAGTTAATTAATTTAGTTAATTAATTTAATTATTGTATAATGATAAAAACTTGTTTGAAATATTTGTTTAAATTTTGAGGTTAATAAGTGGCATTACTTTCCCGTCCACCTAATATATATATATATATATGTAACTTGTTGGTTATTCTAATTTATTTTCATTTATTTTCAATTAATGTTTAATTAACTCGTACTCAATTTTTGTTTCAACAATAACATCATTTCTTTGCGGTTGTTATTTTATTTTTTAATAACTCTGTGAATATATATATATATATATATATATATATATATATATATATATATATATATACTTTATCGTGATAGATACAATTATATACCTGGTTTCTATCAATTATAACGTAATAGCGTATAAAATGAATTTGTATTTTTTTTTATTTTTTTTTTATTGAAATCATACCACAGAGAGAAATGTATTTTTCTCCGGACGTTTATATTCACGAGTTGTAATTTTAAACCAGACGTAGTAGTATGTATTTACATGCTATATATATATATATATATATATATATATAGATATGTATATTGGTATGTATATTCTATAGATTTCTTATTGACGTCAGCTAATGCTACCTTTTTCTTTGTTTTTTTTTTTTTTTTATTGGAACAGGTAAATTGCTTCTTTTGAATAATTCTTTGCATAGAACTTACTACTACTAAGGTTACAAATTATATTATTGTTCCTTATGGTATATCCATAAATTTACTTTGAAAATCCTATTTTAATCTCTAAGCATTAATATGATAACGAATATAATAATAATTAAAGTTTAATGAATTTTATTATACCTTTCATCCATGGCACGTTTCCAAAAACTCAAAGCACCCACCATATCCCTTTTTTTGTCAACATATGTGGCACCAAGTAATTCTAATGCATCTATACGTTCCTTACGTGTTATCAATTCTGGAATTCCTAATAAATATTCGACGATATCGGTGTTGCCTATTTAAACAAAATCAAAAAATAGAAATATGAAGTTTGAACATAATTTCATTGGATACAAAATACAATTATTCTTTCCAATTTTAAAATCAGTTTTATAATTAATAATAATTCATGTTACAGGTAAATCATTGAATGAGGAAGAATAAATCATATTTATGAAAAAGAATGATTTTTTTATAAACCTGTAACAGCAGCAGCTAAAAGTGGGGTCATCCCATAAGAATCAACGTCCATTTGAGCTTTGTGTTCGATTAATAATTTAAGAATTTCCAAAGATCCACTTTCTGCGCAATCATGTAAAGCTGTGTTACCCCTGACCGATTTTCGATTGACATCCGCGTTCCATGCTAACAACAATTCAGCTATTTGAATGTGCCCTCTGTAGCAAGCAATCATCAAACACGTGTGTCCATGACGATTTGCTATTTCGATGTCTGAAAAAGGAATAATTAATTACACATCTTAGGTGTGTTGTAATGTGTGGTTGGTCATTCTATAATTTCGTAAGGATTATCAAATTATTTTGGTATTGGTAAACGCTTGAAAACATTTCATGTGAATATTAAAGTTTATATAATCTATGTATTAACTGATTTGTTTCGTTAATCTACGGAATTTAATGTTTGTTTGTATTTTTTCTAGGTTATGTATACATCAACAGTTAAAGTGTTGTTACAGAAAATGTTCTCTTGGTGTTGTAGAAATATTATATTTAAATTATAATAATTATATAATAATAAATATTATATTTTATTAAATATAATTTATTATATTTAATATAAAAATTATTATTAATAAATATTATATTAAATATATAGAATAATAGAATAATTCCTTGATACTATAAGCAAGGTTTCAGAAAATGTTATTACAAATTTTAAATAAACCACAAATATGGGTGTGTTTGTAAAAACCAATTGCAATGTAATTTAAAGTGTCACCAATTTTTAGATGTTTATATTCAAGAATTTTGTATCATATATTTTTAATTGCAATCTTTGAAATCATTTTGATTGTATTAACTTGAATTACTGTTTCTAGTTGTGTTTTTTATTTTTTTGTTTTCTTGAAACCTTTTATGAACAATTAAATACACATACAAGATAAAAATTGCATACCTGCACCATTGCTTATTAAAAATCTAACGATTTCAAAATGTCCGTCGAAACAAGCAGCACGTAATGGCGTCGAAATAGTTTTCGTTGTTGAATTAACATTAGCCCCTCGTCTTACCAACAATTTGACCAATTTAATATGACCAGCTGCTGCTGCACACCACAATGGTGGTGCACCTTCTATCGTTTCCCCATCGAAAACAACTAAAATCATAAAATGTATATATTTTTCAATTAATTCATATAATTCATTTTCTAATCATTCAAGAATAAAAGTAGGGAAAACCTACCCCCTCCAACTCTTACTTTTGAAAGACTCTTGTCATTCTTATTTAATTTTTCTTTTATTGTTTCTTTAATTATCATTTAATTTTATTAATTTTTATTGTCATATATAAAGTTTTTTACAATGTTTTTTAATTTACGCAATAGAAGAACGTATATACAATAATTTTAATGGCATTTTTTAAATGACGCGTATGTTTTAAACATTCAAATGAAGTTAATACTACATTATATGTATATGTCAATACTACATTATACAGTACATTAATATTCGTGGTTTTTTATTTTATTGCAGTTAAAAACATGAATGTAAGTTGTATTTTATTAATCATTCATTAAAATTTATGGTAGATTTTAAAATACAATTATTGAAATATTGATAATATATATATATATATATATATATATATATATATATATATTGCATATACACAATCAATGCAATTGTAATTAATTATAATGTTATAATAAAAATAAATGCAATAAAATAATATTATGATTTAGTTATAATACAAATAAATGCAATAAACTATATATATTGAAATTTAGTTATAATAATACAAATAAATGCACTAAAATGTATATATTAAAATTTAGTTACAATAATAATAATAATAATAAATGCACTAAAATATATATATTAAAATTTAGTTATAATAATACAAATAAATGCACTAAAATATATATATAAAATTTAGTTACAATAATAATAATAATAAATGCACTAAAATATATATATTAAAATTTAGTTATATATATATTAAGATTTAGTTACAATAATACAAATAAATGCAATAAAATACATGTATATTAAAATTTAGTTATAATAATAAAAATAAATGCAATAACACAATATCATTTCATTTAGTATTATTATTATTAATTTCGTCAATGTAATATAATGCAATAAAAAAAAAAATGTGAATAGAAATATTTCATTTAAATAATTTAAAAATAATCTCTAAAACAAGTGATTAAACTTTTTGAAGTACACAATAAAAAAAAAAAAAAATAAAATTAAAAGAAATGACATGTGTCACAATTATTGAAATGTTTCTTTAGATAATTTAAAATTATAAATTATAATGAAAATAGAATGAGTGATCGTAGTGCCATTTAAAGGTATATTTTCTCTTTACTCTTTTTCTTTTAAATTGTAAAACAAACATGATTCATATAAGATTACACGAACACGTTTTCATAGACTTCGTGGACGAGAGAGAGAGAGAGAGAGAGAGAGAGGGAGAGAGTGCAGTTAAATGACTTTGGTTTTTGACAAAAGTTAATTTTTTGTTGGGAATTTTTACCTGAACCAGGTTGTTCAATGTCAGCCCCACATTTTTCTACGAGGTATTCTGCCACGTCATAGTGTCCGTTTCGACAAGCCATAACCAATGGGGTTGCCCCATGAGTCGTAGTACCAACCAGTACTTCTACCTCATGTTTTTCACGCCGCTCCAAAAATCGCTTTAAAATAAAAACAAGATTTGTTTTAATAAATGTATATAATATAATTATTACTTTTTTTCTTTAATTGATATCAATAATTATAGAAACATGTCAATAATAATATTATAATTAATTATAATAAATGTGTATGCATTGACAATATGTAAATATATTGTGTGATAGTATTGTATATTATGATTTATATTTTATTTCTATTCAAAATTTGATTATATTATAAAATTTATTTATTACAATATATATGCAATTTTTTTTTTAAATAAATTTATTTTAATATATATAATTTTTACAAATAAATTTATTATAATAAATACATCCTGTATATATATATATATATATATATATATAATCTTTTAGAAATAAATTTATTATAATAAATATATTATATAAATTTTTTAAATAAAATTATTATAAAATATATTTATATAATTTATAAAAATATATTTATATAATTTTTTAAAATAAATTTAAATAAATTCAATATATATAATAATAAAATAAATATATATATATATATATATATATATATATATATATATATATATATATGTATTTATAATTTTTTAATATAAATATATTTGTTTTACATTGTGTGTACAATAAATTAATCAAACTTACGTTTGAAAATACGGTACCCGTTTTGAATGGATGAATTAAAATAAAAAAAAAAAAAACTATTAAAATTTTTTGGTTTTTGTTTAAGACAATTTTTTCGACCAAATATTGAATTCACGATTGAGACGTCCGATTTTAACGAGTTTTCAAAGTCAACTGACAGTATTCTTCGTTTCGTTCAGGTACAAATTCACAATCGAAAGATATTCTCTCTCTATGTGTTAGTGTGTGTACATTCTACACTTACATACACTATATATATGTATATGTATATGTATAATTCTTATTCTCTAACTCTCAAAGAAAGATACCACCAAGTTAAGCATAAAACGTAAGAATATTTTCTTCTTCTTCTTCTTCCTCGTCTTCTTCTTCTTCTTGTCTTTTCCGTGTCTTTTTTTCTTATTCTTTTTTTTTGAATTTTTTTTTTTTTTCGTGTAAATAATAAATATTTAAAATGTGTTTTCCCTCTCTCTTCCTTTTCACGTACGAGAGAAACGATGAAAGGATGATAATGATGTTCACGTTTCAACTCGTTATTAATTCGTCAAATGTTTTATTTATAAACAATTCTCGTTTCCACGATATATATCTTTTTATATTTTTTAATTGTTTAAATAAATTGTTCTATATTATTCTATTTTTTATTCATCTACTATCACTATTCTTTGAACAAATGTGTTTCCTCCTTATTTTTATTACAATTTTTTTAAACATCGTTTACACTTTATTTCTGTCATCAAAATTATCTTTGCTTTTCCCCTCTATTTTTTATTATTTAAATAAATTGTTCTACTTTATTTTATTCTTCTTCTATTATTTATTGAACAAATGTGTTTTCTTATTTCTATTTTAATTTTTTTAACACAGTTTACACCTTATTTCTGTCATCAAAATTGTCTTTTGTCTCTCTCTCTATTTTTATTGTTTAAATAAATTGTTCCGTTTTATTCGTATTCACCTTTTATACTTTGAACAATTGTGTTTCCTCTCTTCTTTTACAATTTTTTTGTTAACACTGTTTACACTTTATTTCTGTCATCAAAATTGTCTTTTGTCTCTTCCTCTATTTTTATTGTTTAAAACAATTGTTCCGTTTTATTCATATTCACCTTCTATACTTTGAACAAATGTGTTTCTTAATTTATATTGAAAAATTTTTTTTTTAACACCGTTTACACCTTATTTCTGTCATCAAAATTATTTTTTTTTACTCCCACTATTTTTATTGTTTAACACTAGATATACCACCATTTTTAGGATACCTATTTCTACCACACTAGTCAAAATGACTGGTGTATATAAAAAAA